TGTGTGTGTGTGTGTGTGTGTGTGTGTGTGTGTGTGTGTGTGTGTGTGTGTGGAGAGACAGAGGGGGGGAGAGAGAGCAGCCAGCTCCTCTCCACACCGGAGGCTGAATGAAGATCAACAGACGATCATGCTAAGCTTGCTAACAGCTCCACCCTCTGACTGCTGCAGGGGCTTGTCTTAGAGAGAGGCTTTTATACCAGAACACAGCCGCTGTGACGAAACTGTGCAGAACCACGTCAACATGCAGAGCCGTTAACCAATATGTAAATTAGCCTGCAGTACCACTGCTCCACCCATGTGCGCAGCAAAAAGACGTTTTTAGACCAAATATTACAGATTTGAACAAATACACACAAAAACATCAAAATTAGCTCAGAAACAGTACTATATAACATTTTAGACACATTCTAGACAGTTTGTCAGCTAAAAAAAGTTAATTTTGGGGTAAGTTACTCTTTAAGGATTAAAAGACACCTTGTTCAATTTTATTGTTTTAGAGCATTTAATTTTAGATTTGCAGAAAAGATGCATCAAACCACTTCTGTTTCCTCACTTCACTATCAAACCATCCTTCATTTATAACAAAGAAATTCAAACTCCTTTCCTTTTTACATAATTTTCTGTGCACACATTTCTAAATTTCTCTTTGTGCTTGTGTAACCCAGTCATTTTTTAAAATACTTTAGGCCATTCAGTCCCTTTTATGTTTTCATCCTATCCACCATTCTCTGACTAAGTGTGAAATCCCGCGAGATTTTGTGGGATCTAAGGGCCGCACCCATTATTTGTCTGGGAAACCATGTACAACTCCTGGCAAAAAGTATGGAATCACCAGTCTTGGATGAACACTCATTCAGACATTTCAATCAGTAAAACTCAGATCAAAAATATGATACAATAATAAGGTCATTCCAAAGTGCAACTTGTTAGCTTTCAGGAACACTCAAAGAAATGAAGACAAAACATTGTGTAAGTCAGTGAATGTTACTTTTATTGACCAAGCACAGGGAAAAAAATATGGAATCACTCAATTCTGAGGAAAAAAGTATGGAATCACTCAAATTGGAGGTAGAAAATAAGGACACACCCAGTCAATTTCCTTTCCCTAAATGGACATCTGCCTCAGATTAGATCTGCTGGTTAGTCTGCAGTTAAAAACACCTGCAGTCATGACACCTTGGAGGGCTGCTGGARGAAGTGGAGTGGCAAGAACCATGGCTCCAACAAGAGAAATGTCTCTGAAACAAAAGAGAGGATTGTGAAACTTCTTGAAGAAGGTAGCTTTTCACGCATGGTTGCTAAAGATGTGGGCTGTTCACAGTCAGCTGTATCCAAGGTATGGACCAAATACAAACAGCATGGAATGGTTGTTAAAGATAAGAATACTGGTAGACCAAGAAAGACATCAAAGTGTCAAGACAAACAACTTAAGGCCATTTGTCTTGAAATCCGAAAAAGTACAGATGAAGCATGGATGAAGCATGGAAGGAAGCTGGGGCCAATGTATGTGACCAAACCGTAAGAAACTGCCAAAAGGAAATGGGATTTCAATAGAGGAAAGCTAAAAGAAAACCATCATTGACAC